TTCAGGTGCAAAATAGAGGCGGATAATATATTATTGAAAGTTATTTTGATTTATTTTTAGACAAAAAAAAAAAAAAAAAATATATATATATATATATATATATATACTTGGATTATTATTTTAGTTTTTTTAATACAAATGTCCCCCGCCTTGAACTGCCACCCTAACGTGGTGGCCGGGGTTTCAGTGCTCAGATGATCCCAGAGGCTTTGTTGCCAGGGTCTCCAAATGGCAACATCAGGGGCTAAAGAACACGCCTCTTGAGGAATCCATCATTTTCCTGGGGTACTTTAATGCCCATGTGGGAAACAACAATGACACCTGAAGAGGGATGATCTGGGGGGACATTGATGTTTCTTTGCAAGCCACTGATTGTTCATAATGAACACCATGGTTGACCATAAGTGTCTTCTGACCTTCAGCTGCATGTTTTAGATACTCATTTGAAGATGGGCAAAGAGCTGGATATGCTGGAAGATGAGGAAGCTGGACAGACTCAACAAGCCACTCGAGAAGGGATGTATTCAACTCTCAGCTCCAGAAGAGCTGTTCTCACATTTTGGGGGATGCTGGGAACATGGATATGTGGTGTTTCCATTGCTAATACAGCCACCTTAGGCACCACAGACCTTACGCCCACAGTGCCTGTTGTAACAACAGGCACCAAACCCATTGATGGACGTAAGCAATAAGATATTCCATCAATCTGAAGGAGCCCTATCGAGTCTTGTTGTCTTGTGGAGCTCCTGAGGCAAGTTCATTGAAGGTAAGGAAGCCCCTAATCCAGGCGGTGGCAGAGACAAAAACCAAGGCTTGGGAGAAGTTTGGAGAGACCACAGAGAAAGACTATTGCACACCATCTGACACCTTAGGAGGTAAGCAGTAACACTATTTTTAGGCCAGTGGGAACTGCTGACCTTTGATGATCTCCTCAACCAATCTGTCTTCAGATTAACTTTTATCTCACCCAGGATGAAGGCACCAAGGTGGTGAAAAAAGGGGATGAAATCCAACCCAAGTACCTTAGTGGATGTTATCTTGCTCTCAAGGCTGACATTCTTCCACAAGACTGTTTTTTTTTCACTAGAGGTGCTGTACCAGCTAAGCTGGAGCCGGGTTTGCATTGCCAGCGGCAGCAAAGGGCCAGAGAGGGTCTTTTTGGAGGACGCATAGATTTTGTCCCTGCTCTTTTGTGGATGGGTCTGCTGGCTCTCTGCTGAAAATTAGCTTCCTGACCAAGGTGGCAGGAAACTCCCTTAGAGATAGGATGAGGAGCTTGACCATCTAGGCGAGGATAGAATTACTTCTCCATCACATCAATATGTCAGGTGCCAGCTAAGGTGGCTTGGACATCTGTTTTTAATGCCCCCAGGACACACTGAAGGGACCATGTCTCTTGGCTTGCCCTGTATTGCCTTGAGCTTCCCTCAGACAAGATTGCTGAGGTGTCAGAGGAGAGGGAAGTTTGGGAGTGTCTGCTGAGACTGATGCCGCTGTGACTCGGTCCAAGAAGTAAAGTACAATTTTCAGTTTCAGGGTCTCCTCGTACCTCATGATGATTATTCCTTTCATTTGTGATCATTGAGAAGATGGATTCCATCAGATAAAATGCGTAGATCCCACCAATCACCGCTAGCATTTTATATGTATAATCTGGGGTTTCCTCATGTTGGTGATCGTGGTCATCGTCCCCTGAGTGAACATGTAGGCCCAGAACCTAGAAGACCACAGAATGGTTAAACCTTAATGTCTTTATAAGATCCATAAACCAAAAATAAATTCAAGTTATACTTTGCAAAAGAAAAAGCATTATTTACAATGTTGAATTACCAGTTAACATGGTATCTAAGCTGTATATTCATATAATTCATTTTACTTCAACTCTACAAGGGTTAAAATCACCCACCGATGGTATGAGGTGCAGCAGGGCATCCCCAGTCAGAGAACCCACAGCCATGCTGATACAGAACTGGATACACATCTGGAAAACACTGGTACACGAGGTACACAGTAGGATCGCAACGCCTAAAATGGCCATGAGGGTAATGACAATATTGGCGAGGGTCGCATAGAGGTATTCTGCAGCAGGAAAAACAGGAAAAAGAAGAGGTCAGGTATAATAAGAATTACAAAATGATCAAATAGTCTTTTTTGGTTACATGATAAAAAGAAATTGAAGTGCAATACTACAATAATGCAATCACAGCAGTAGCCATTTCTATGGCAGCTCTCTTGAAATCTGCCAGTTTAACTTTAAAGACATGGTCACACTCACTCTCAGTTTTGGAGAGCTGATCGGAGGTTGCTGGTTCTATAACCTTTGAGCATGATCCACTCAGGATCTGCTGGACCAATGCAGGACTCAGCTTTGCAAAGCCAGATCTTCCCATTCCAGAACTTTCCCCAGACAGACCATAGATCTGGACCAATTCTTCAGCTGTGAAACATTGCTGGAAATAATGAAAAAGAGAAGCAATCATCTATATAGTGCATTCTTTACAGTATTCCCTGAGCATGCTAGCTTGTTATGCAGTATGTGCTTAGAAATGAGATGAGCAGATGATATAAATTGACCTGAATTAAAAGGTTACATTTAGAAAAAATACAATTCTTCCAGGACAAAGCACCGGAAGTTACTGCATTAGTAGGAAATATTTTATCTGATAATTATGCTGTTCTGTTTTCACCTCTTTCTCAAAATGAAATGTTTTAGAACATGACCAGGTTTAAAATAATAAAAAAAAAAGGTATCAGTTACAAAAATGTAAATAAAATAGCCTAGAAGTGTTTTAGTCATAGGCAGGATTTCAATTTGCTAAGGCTACTGGGAAATAACTTTAAAACTGGATGCTTGTGCTTCCAAACTCTCCAGTGTGGCTGGTTTGGAAAACTTGATTACTGAATTAAACCATTATTTTTCCTTCACTAAAGTCAACTATATGATGCATGAGAGCGATTGATGATTTTTTTTTGCAGTACTTGAGGTTGCACCAACATGGTGTTATTTCAATTGAGGACTTCTAAATTATATTTTCTACATACATACCTCATCCCAGGTGTTGTTAGTTTGATCTCCTACATGACGCACTTGTCCTCTCTGCTTCCTCTGATAATTTTTAGCATCTTCAATATGGTCATGATCATGATCGTGGTCCTCCTCTGGTCCAATTTTAAGGCTCTTCATGAGAACCTCTAAATCTACAAACCAGAAAGAACGTCTGAGCACAAACTGATTTGAAGTTGTGAGAGCCAGGCATGGACTGGTAATCGGGCGTACCGGGCATTTGCCCAGTGGGCCGACGTGCTGTTTGGACCGGCAGACCCGACATGTATATTAATAATATGTATTATTATCATTATATATCGGCCTCGTTATATTTGCATAATGCATGAAGAAAAATAAAATCAGCAGCGCAAGTGTCTGTTCCGATCATCCGGCCCTTACCACAGGCTACTGCAGCCCATTGGTTATCATCCCTGACAGTCTAAAGGACTAGACCAATCATAAAGTAGAAAAATACTTTCACTCTCCATTGGAACTTTGTGCAGCGGTGTTCACAATAGTAATGGATAACAAATGCAAGGGAGGCGCAGAGAAACTGGGCGAAAAAAAGAAACGAGTTCTTCAAACGGACGCTGCGAAATGTGTCAAACTGACTGACATGTTCCCAACAGCAGGCCCTTCATCTGCTCCGGTGTCTGATGTAAAATATGATGTTGGTGGTGCAGACATCCCAAGTAGACTCCCTGATATCGACAGTTGTTCACGGATGCCATCGAGTTGGATAAATTATCCTGGATTTTAGACTATGGGAGGTGGTGTTTTTTTAATGCCAGTGAGAGCGAGCAGGCAAAACAACAATTCATGCATCATGTGCGGATTAGAACTATTGCGATTGCGCAGACAACAACAAGACAGAGCAGGGTGTGAGGAGGAGGTTTCTTTGTGAAACCTGTGCAGCGTATCTGTCCAAAGCAATGCTCTGTTCAACCAACATTCCAGGCGACTGGTTGAACAGAGAGCTGATTGGATCAGTCACAAAAATAAGCCAATAAGTTTCAGTTTACTCTTTTACAGTCTCCTCATTTTACAGGAGAATATAGTAAAGTGTATCCATGTCTAGTGAGGGTGAAGAATGATGGAGTGCATGTATGGCGCACGGTGCGGCCAGGGGCGTCAGCTGACCCAGTACTATACAGGGGCACAATAGGGCACCAAATGAACTTTTAGGCAATTATTTATATTATAAAAACATGGGCACAGATAATTAATGCAAGCATGTGAGCAAATATTTTATGGCACTTATTTATTATTATAAAACATCATAAATAAATTGTACAATAAGATTGTTATTGCATCTCCCTGAAATGAGTTTTTGGAACTTGGGATGTCTGTGGTTGTAGTGGAGGCGACGGCGAACCGAGCAGTGAACATGATGTCAGTGCGGCTGAGGAGAGACATGGCGAGAGAGATGAGAGCAGAGAGCAGGAGGAAATAGATTACTTTGTCTGTCCTGATCCTTGTCTTTTTACAAAACTTTTTTAATCACCACCCACAACAAAGCACAAAAAATACAGTTGTGCTAAAGGTATTCACCATTAAAAATGCAACCAACAGGAGGTGGCTCACATATCGTGAGAAATGTCATGCTTTATTTTGTTTTACATACATACATACACAGTTGTATGTATTGAATTTGGAAAGACTACTGACACAAGCTCATTTATTACTGGGATGTCTGATTGGAGGTGTGTGAGTAGCACAATTTGTGTGATTGACTGTGACTTTTCTCTCTCTCTCTCTCTCAAAAATGTGGTGAGCCAGTCTAGTCCAAAATGCCAGGGCCGATTTTTCTGTCCCAGTCCATCCCTGGTAAGAGTGGATGAATTGTTTTTTCAGACAGATTCTGCATGGATACAATCACTGGTTACTTACCATGAACAGTGAAATTTTCTGAACCAAGTTGAGTCATGACAAAATCCAGGAAAAAGCTCTCCTCTGGTAGGGGCTGACCAAAGCAATGACCAAGGAGGGCGTGGTACAATACACGCCCCAAAACTGCACCTACTTCCTGTATCTGATCTGATGACGCTGGGTCAACCTCCATCATGATGCCACTAGCTGTTACACAGTTCTAAAGTAAGAAAAATGAAGAAAAGCAATAATCAAAACATTTTCCTGCAATCTTCTTGTCACTTTAAGCTATTACGAAAACCTTTAATCATAACTAATTAACTTTAGGGATATTAACGTATCAAATTCAAACTTATTGGACATGATGCAAAAACACAATGTCAACACAAAAAGAAACTCTTCACATTAGCATTTAACATGTTTTCTGTCTTACTTTCTTACTTTTCACTTAATGATTTTGGTGTGAGAAAGCCACCAGATCACTGTGATTATTGTTACTGGTGCAAACCTGATCTCATGGCCTCATATTAAAGCAATTTTGGAACATAAATCTAACAGATGAGTAGAGGATTAAAAATGATCTCTGCCTTAAAAAATGCTGATAGCCATTTGAGAAACCGGAAACATAGAAATAGTTTTTAATTTTTGTTTTGAATGGTCTAAAAATGGTTGCAATGCAGCAGGCAAAGCGAGGGTTGGTTAAACACTTAACATTTTGCAGGAAAAACATGCATAAGGTGATTGACTATGCTGAACATGGTCAAAGATACTTAGAAATATTCAATGTTGTTAAAAGTGACTTACTTTCTAAAATAGGAAGCTAAAATATGCACAACCTCAATCTACATCAAATAACTCTGGTATTTTTCCAGCAGTCAGAATTTCAATTGAATTCTAAACTGGAGGTAAAATTAGTCTTACTGAATTGTTTTGTTTCAAAGCAAATTAATTTAGTTTAAAATGCTTAAACACAGTTTTTCTTCAGTTTTACATTGTTACATACATTTTCAATTTAGTTCAATCTACCTTTAGACTAATACATAAATTTCTTTTTTGCATATATAGATTTACCCTGGCAAAAACCATCGTAATATGTGTAAATGTGCTCCAGTGGAAAGCAATTGCAAAAAGGAGGGACATCCAGTACAATTCTTTGAGCTGATTGGGTAAATCACCAAGTGGCATCTGCCACAAGAATGTATCACATTCTTGATTTGTTTCACAACTACTGGAGGAAATTAATAAATCAAAATCTTGCTAAATTGGTTTTCCAAATAAAACAGAGTGAAGAGCTGAGTCTACAGTTATGAATGGTACAGGTAAATCAGTTGGAAACATCTCTGCATTCAAGGCTGATGCATCTATTGGCTTCTGGCAACGATTTTCAAGCGTTTGTAATTTCGCAAATCCTGCAACAATACAACTTCCCTAAAAGGTACACTGACAAAATAGAAATCTAAATAAGTATTTTTTTTCTTACAATAAGTGCATTTTTTCTTGAATTGAGGGGTTAAGTGAGTCACTTTGCCAATGAAACGAGACAATTTCTACCTTAAATAAGAAAACACTATTGCATTGTCCCATTTCAAGTGCATATTATCCAACTATCTTATTTTGAGAGTAAAAATGCTCCTTAGATTGGCAAATCATCTTATTTAACTACCCAAATTAAGGGTAAATACACTTAATTTAAGAAATTTTCACCTATATTTAGCTTTGTTTTTGCAGATTCAGTCTGGACAACTGAAATTCCGTTTCTGATGGCAAAAGTTTTTGCCTATTAAAAAAGGTCTTTAACTCTTTCATGACATGCTATTTTTTTGCATATTAACCTATATGGTGCAAACTTAATCCATCATGAGTGGCCCTTTTTTTATTGCACTGATGGGGTAACGTGGTTCTCACCAGATATGAGCAGGGTGGGATCCGACTTACGCTGGTGCACAGGTTAAAATGCTGTGCTGACCTGGTGGCGTGTAAACTTTGACTCGTTGGCTGATGCTGTCAGCTAATAAAAGGACTCTTAAATTACAGATGCCCTTTTATTGATACTTTCAGTAAAAGATAAAAGCTGAACTCTTGAGAAAATGTTAACTACATGGTGATAAAGACTGTTATGTAAGCTTATTAAATTGCTCTATATTCCTTTTTTAAAAAAAACTTTTGTTTATTATAGGACAAAACTTCAAAAACTGATAAAAATCAAATATAGCTGCCAAAGCCCAAATTATTGCTAATTAAAGTGAACCTCTTAATACTCTCAAAACCAGGAGCAAAATTATGCTACAAGCCAAAGTGTCTAAATCTAAGATCATGTCACCCACAGCTAGATCTTGAAACCAAACTTTTAAAACCAGTATCCAAGCTGAACGTATATTATTGGATTTTAACGCACACTGAAGGTATTTAACAGAGTCTTACCTTATCATCTGAAGGCTCATAGTGGTTGTGCAGATCCTGAATCACACTCTCAAGTCCAATAATGCCTATGTGACTGTGAGCGTGTTTGTAGTGGTCCATATGGGTATATTTGTGAAGGAAACGCTCCTTCTCCTCTGCCCATTTCCCCTCTCCAATCGCAGCACAGACCAAGTCAGGCGAGATGAGATAGAGGACGCTGCCTGCAGCAAGAGCTGGGAACTGAGACACACTGACAGTCTCGTTTGCCTCGATTTTCTCATGTGCTTCCTCCGCATGGCTGGAGTGATTCCCGATGAGCTGATCAACAGCAGCAGCCAGATCACACTGAATATATATGAGGCAAAAACAGAAGAAAAGACATAAGTCAGATCAGTAACTTGCATGAACAAGACAGAATTCAGCTAATTTTCATTGCTGTGGAATAAAACAGGACCCTATGGTGTTTTGGAAACTTATTAACATTTTCCTTAATCATTTTAAGATTGTATTGCAAAACTATTATTGAAAGGATCATCTATTAAAATTATTTAAGATTATCTATCAAAATTGGGATTTTATGAGCTATGTAAAACACAGTAGGGCATAATGCTATGATGCTTACAATTCTCTTTAAATAAAAATATGAAAAGTGTAATGTGCAAATATCTTGCTATACCGTGGTGAGACTCATCTTTTACAGCATTTCCTGCTGCAAATCATTCAGTGTACGTCTCTATTAGCATTGCACACCCAGACACGGACAATTCTCAACGTTCCTCTTTCCGATCTTAGTCACACTGGATAGAGAGTTCCTGTGAATATCAATTTCCAGTTGGATATGGATCTGGACATTGAAGACTATTTAAAAACAAATATGCCTTGATTTAAACCATTTCTCTTTTGTTCTGACAATAGGGCTTTCAGCCGTTTATTTTCAGCACTGCTTTGTAATGGATTCATAGTCACATCAATTCTTAGACTGCCCACTAAATAACAAACATCACTTTAGCGTGATGCTGCCGTCAGCATTTTTTCCCCATTGAGAGATGGTGCGGGCGGCTCAGTGACGCAGTGGGCCTTGCAGCAAGAAGGCTCTGGGGCCTGGGGTCTTTCTGCATGGAGTTTGCATGTTCTCCCTGAGCATGTGTGGGTTCTCTCTGGGTACTCCGGCTTCCTCCCACAGTCCAAAAACATGACTGTTAGGTTAATTGGCTTCTCTAAAGTCCCCTTAGGTGTGAGTGTGAATGATTGTTTGACCTGTTTGTCTCTTTGTTGCACTGCGATGGACTGGCGACCTGTCAAGAGTGTACCCCGTCTCTCGCCCGTAGACAGCTGGAGATAGGCACCAGCACCTCGCGACCCCACTTGGGGTAAGCGCGTAAGAAAATGGATGGATAGATGAGGAATGGTGCGTTTAGGATGACATACAGTTTTAGTTTAGCGACAAAGTTCTGTGAGTGGAGCAAGTGGAGCAAGATCTCAACTAGAAAACCTTCTTCCAAGCTTGCGATCTTCTGGCTGTCCTCTTTCCTCTCTACCATACATGCAAGATATACAAGATCTCTGCAGCTTCTCCAGAGTTATAATGAACCTCTTACATGGGTCTCTACTAAAGGCTTTTCCTGCTAAAGACGGTAGATCAAACCAAACTCTTAGAAATGTTTAAAGTCTCTGATAAGGTTTTACAACCTAATGCTCCTCTTAACTTCCTTACTGCTTGTATTTTGTGTTTGCTCTTATTCATGATGCTGTTGTTCATTAAAACCTCTGAGGCACCCACAAAACAGAAGTATTTTATTTCAAGGTCAACGCAAACACAACATTGATCCTTTATTTACCAACCAAAAAATAGGTCAAAATGTGCTGAACATGAACACATTAGTAGTTTTCCAACCATTTTAAGATTATCCGCTGAAGTTGGTGACTGTTATGTGACACGTAACGCAAAAACGTGAACCAGTTTGTAAATTCTGGAAGGTGCTGTAATCATCATTATTGTTGCGTTTGAAATGGCAGCTTTAAGATAAGAAGTAGCAAACATAGGGGGGGTAATATAACGAAGAACACCATAAAATTCTGACAATCCTCTATTCAGACCCAGAACTGCATGGGAGGGGATGAGTAGCACAGGGTTTTTATTTTTTAGTTATTTGGGGGAGCATAAAATGTTTATAGCAGTTTTTACAAGAATCATACTCTTTTAGTCATCTGTTTTAGTTTCCTTTATTTTAAATAGACCCCTCAGATAATGTTTCAATATTTAGTGTACCCAAACTTAGTCTTAAAACATCTATATCTCTTGCCCTCTTCATTTTATCAGGTCACTAGGAAAGTCTATGGATCTATTCTAAAAGGAAAAGAAGCAAAGTTCAAGCAGCAGACACTGAATTTCACTCAACCGTGTTGTGATTTGAGCAGCAGTAGACGATGAGGTGACAAACAATCATTACAGCCTACAATTTAGGTGAGATGATCCTTTAAATTGACGACAGTGGTTACATATTATAAGTTGGATTTCGCATGACCTGCAATTTTGGTTGTTTTTTAACAGACGATGCATTTTTTTAAAACCATTTTTAAAGGAAATCAGTGAGAAAGGTTGTGGCTTCAGCTACCATTTCTTGAGTCTAAATGTTGTAGGAAATGAATGGAAATTGCAGAAAAAAAACGAAAAAAAAACCAGCTGTACTTGTGAATTTGATTAGTTCTTTTTTTAGTCCACTCGCTGCCACCCAGGGTATTTTTCCACTGATCCATACTTTGCATTGATTTTTATTGAATTTATAGCTGTCATCGAAGAAGTTCAAGGATCTTGTTCCTACTGATAATGTATCTAAATCAGATACCGGAGGAGTTTAAAAATAAATAGGGGGAAAAAGATCTAAATTAGTATGGAAAAATAAGGAAAACCTTCAAAAAGGACAAGAAACAAGAACAAATATTAAAATTAATTATTTTTCTATGAACTTAACATTGTCCAATGTATAGTTAAATGGAGAACTCAGTTTGAATAATTTTACTATAGCTGAAATGAAACGTGTTTTTCTTTTAAATAGTGGCAATTATTTTTTTATTAAATTTGTGTTGGACAGTGGCTCTGAAGGTTTTTGCAAAACAAGGAGATTAAATTACTGTGTGACAAATATATTGGTATTTTTCCATGTTTATTTCAATTGTTTTTACATTAGGTAGTTTCATTAGATTGCTGCTAATAAAATGGGAATATCAAGATATAGATCAAACATTTAACTAGCAACTACAACCATTTAAACTTTGGGATAAAATAAATAAATGCATAGGAAAGCCTTCCCTGATGCATTTTAAAACACAGTTTAGTCGGCCATAGCCAATGCAGTGAAGCACAATGTGAAAGCAGAGTGTAAAAAAAAACAAGTGCAATAATTCAGCAGCTAGCAATTCTAACTTTAGCAGCAATAACTAACTTGAAATAATAGCCTTCCGTGTGAGCTTATCAGTATCTCCTATCTTTGGGGGGGATTTCAACATTACTTCACTTCAGTGAGGCTTAACAGCTTTCCTTTCTGCTTGTCCTTCATGTCTGGACTTTGACTGGAATATTACAACACTTTAATTCTCTTTCTTTTTTTTTTTACATCATTCTTTTGTGTACGGTATTTGCAGAAGAACATAGATCAGTACTCTAGAATACTTTGCTATACACTTGGGGTCCTGGTCATCTTTAGAAACTTAAAATATATTGGTGGTAAAAGGCAAGCCCAAATCACCACTCCCCAACTACCGTGCCTCACAGCTTCAAAAGAATACAGATTGCATGTTTTGAGAAAAAGGAGGACTCAAAATGGTTACTCAGAATTTGCCTAATAATGAATAAAATACAATTTCTATACATGGGCACATAAATAGTTTGGTGTGCATATTATTTATTTGTCAACTCAATAAAACAGAAAAAAGAAAAGAAATCCATTTCACCACATTACTTGGTATTTAACATTCAATTGTACATTGGCTTTGGAAAAACATTTGACTTGTAACAAGGGATATGGAATGATTGTGATAAAGATGGAGACATCGCAGAAAAACTTTTGTTTCAGAACATGTTATTAAGTTTCCCCGCAACAGAACAGCCTATGGAAAAACACCCTTTTCAGATATTAAGTACTGTAACCCAACTAATATGTGACTAGCAAAGAATATTGAAAGACAGAATTTTGGTTTCAACTATCTGCAACTACCCATTTCTCTTCATGGAGTTTTCAAAAATGTTTGTTATTTTTTGTAAATCAGATCCAACTCTCCTAACCTAAACCATGTTGACATGATGAACTGTAACATTACAACAAAAAATGACATCAGGAAATTTACACCCTGGCCTCAGGAGGTGCATGTTGGAGAGATAAAATAGTTTTAAATGTTTTCAACTTGTTGATGCTCATTTGATAATTAGGATTTTTGGAGATTAGTTCTTAACCTTTATAGATGGATGGGTTGCTGCATTTTTACAAATATAATTAACAATGTCTTTTCACTTAAGGATAAAAAACAACAGGGTGATTTAGAGTCCAATAACAAAGCAGTGTTATACTTCAATCATTGTGTTAGTGTTTCAAGTCAATGAAAAATAAATATTTGAACCCTTAAAAAAAAAAAGCAACAACCTTTTTACCAGTGTTTCTTAAATGCAGTTTTTTATTTGTTAATCACTTTTCTCTTGATACCCTGTGAATTAAATTATAATGTATTCACTAATCAAAGCATTTATTAAGCAGGGTGGTTCCCAAAGTAGCGGTCCAGGCTCAACTAATGAGCACAAATCAACTAGCGTAGGGTCCTGAGACGCTCCTCACAAAACAAACTGAATGACAAAAGTGATGTTGGTCAAGCATATTTATGATTTAGAATATATATATATATATATATATATATATATATATATATATATATATATATATATATATATATATATATATATATGTGTGTGTGTGTGTGGAAAAAATATATATTTTTTTCTTTGAACAGGTGTCAGCGAGCTTCTCGCTCCTATTAAAATTACTTAACAGAGGTCCTATATGATCCTTCGACTGCCCGGTTCCATGAATACACAATATAAAATCTATTTCTTTAATGGAATAAATGAAAAAATATTTTAAAGAAAGATGACTATTTTTAAATATCTAATTTTCCTTAAAGAGACCAAGCCCATCTAGAATGAAACATATTTAATGAACCTAAACAAAGATAAAAACTAAATAAAATGTCAACAGCAAATCTGATGAAACCAACAAGCACTGTATCTAATACTTTTATCTTGAGTTATATGCAGATGGTTGTATAAAACCACATAGGGGGGAAGAAAAAGCTTTTACTGAGCATATTTATTGTTTTGAAATGCTGAAAAACTCTTTATAATTGTTTTTGAAATGTACTAAGGTCAACAGGAGCCTAAAAAAAAAAAACACAGTTGGCACCAGAGCTGAAGGTCAAACGGTGTAGACTCAGTGGTAAACCAACAACTTGGGCCTTTTCCACTATCAATTTCCGTGTCTGAAGCTGAAAGGTTTAAGGACCACTTAGAAAACCTTGGTTATTTTCTTTAAGCACATTAACAACAAAACACGTTTTTTAATTTACTTGATGATTTTCTTATAATGAAACTACATTTTTTTTTGTTCATTTTGTCATGAGATCCTGGACTCCTTTAAAAAGCAGTAAAAGAAATCCTTACCAAAATAAGAATTGTCTTTGTTATTTCTTAAATCAATTATATTGAGATTTTTTTTGTATTTCTATTCCTAAATTTAATCTTTTTGTCTTTGTTATATTCAAATTTCTCGTTATAAAGTCTGTTGTTATTTATTTTTTTCCGTAATATTGTAAAAAAAAAAAAAAAAAAAAGAAAAATTCATCTTCCAGTATTTGGCAGTGATTCAATATTTGTGTATTTTTTTTGTTTTAACAACAACAAAAGAATAACCCAGCTTTGCTTTGATTGGAGCCAATCCAGAGCAAAGCTTTAACAATTCTTGTTTAAAATTTTATTAATTAAGATATTTAAAACCAAATCAACATATTATGACCAATATTCTGGTATTTAATTAGAAAAATCAGTATTTCCTCAGTGTGAACAGGCACACCTGGTTACTATCTGAACCTCGACCTTCCTCCATCCGACCAACGCTTCCTTTCCTGCGTCTGTGTGACCTGGCTTCCAGGTTAGGCCTAATAAAACCTACCTTTTCACACGGCACCTCGCCGCACTGCACACGATCCTGCAGGGTATTAAAAAGGGAGCGAAGGGACTCCCCGGTCAGAAAGCGCTGCCCCGGAGCAACGACGCTGATCACCACGTTATACGCGTCTTCCACAGGCGAAGCGGAACCAACCGAATCCGGAAAACAGCAAATGGAAAAGAGCAGCAGGACCAACGGCTTCATCTTAAAACTTTCTTCGGCCAGGGATCTAAGTTAAAACCTGCTACAGTTGGAACATATTGAGCTGTGTGGAGAATCAGCTCGTAGATATACTCCTGAAACACCTCCATAGTCTCACCGGATCTGGATCCTGGATTGTGATTGGCTGACACGTGGCTTGGGCTTACCTCACCTTCTACTTTAAGGCCATAGAAAATGACTGTTTGTTACAGGTGTGCACTTACTTTGCGGAATAATATATGTTTGGGAAATATATTTGTCTCTCTTTTAAGGGCAAAAATGGAGTAAAAAGGATATGACCAAAGGAAACGAAGACCGGAAACACCTGAGTGAAAGCTAAAGACATTTTTTTTTTTTTATGACCAGTTGAAAGTGGTGACTTCTTCCTGGGTGAATAAGCAGTTGCTACCAAAAGCTAAAGAAATGGTTGTGTGACATCTGCAGGTAGCTGCTGCCATCCTACGTTTGTGAGGAGCCATTTTTTTAGTTGTTACCAGAAAGAGGGAGGGAAGGAAAAGATGGGTAAAAAGATATGACACCATAACATTACCACCAGGTTATTGTAAATAATTTTTTTCAATGAATATTCATTTTTTATCATTGTAATGGGATTCATCTTTCCAAAAGCTCTACTTTTTTGTAATTACTAAAGAACATCTAGACAAAGGTCTTTGTCATTTTGAAGACAACATGTTATTTTTGGTCATCAGAAATTTTCCCTTGGAGCTCATCCATTGGTGCATGTTTTACACCAGGGGGTAATTTCCAGGGGTGTTTTATTGTTGCATCATGATCCAAATATCTCAAATTAGTAGGGACACCAAAGACTCAGTGAAGTGCCTTCGCATTCTCTGCAATAAGCACTATCCGAATAGTGCTGGCAGTTAGGAGGGAGCTAGGACAACGACGCACTATACTTCCTAGCACTACTGCAGTTAGCATAGGGGCCTTCTGATGTCCCTAGATCAGGGGTCTTTAATGTTTTCCAGGCCAAGGACCCCCAAACTGATGGCGAGATGGAGCGGGGACCCCCTAATTATATATATTGTATGAAACTGTTATATCAAACTGGTCCTATAGTCACTCTATTACATATGGAGTAATGTAACAAAATTTATTTCTCTCTGGGATTATTAACGTATTTCTGATTCTGATTCCTTGTTGAATGGACAGGTCTTGTGAATGAAATGGTGCCCGGCTTTTAAGAGCTCCTGTGTGTGGCTGAATGTGTGCATTGATGACTGAAAGACATCTTCTGCCTCCATTTATCTTTTTACTACAGTGTGTTGAATTCATTTTAATGAGTATTTAAAGACATTTCAATTAGTGGAAAAAATTGTAGGTGGGAATATTAAAAAAAAGTCCAATCAACCAAAACTTTCGCGACCCCCATGTAGTACCTCTGCGGATGCCCTAGGTGTCATGGACCCCCTGTTGAAGACCTCCGCTCTAGATGCTGCTTAGAAATTAAAGGTTACCCACAATCTGTTTGCGTGACAGACTGTATAGGAACACAGCCCACCTCACAGATTAAAATGAAAAAAAAAAACATGATCTTGGTGACATACTGTGTGAGACACATGCTAATGTCCCCATCTTCATTTGTTTTTGGTTTCATATCCGATATTTTCTGCTGTTTGTTTCATTTGTGTAACTTTAAATCTTAGTAGTTCTCTTCCGTAAGGCTGCAGTCCCATTTCGACCACTGTCACTCATGGGCTTGTCCTTCACAAAGGGAAGTCCACAAGGCGAAGTGCTGTCTGGATTCAGCACAGCAGTCCAGAGTTCCTTTCCTTCCTAGATAGTGTTCTTACTGTTGAAGCCACAAAAGGTATAGGAGCTATGAACTGGAAGTATAAGCTAACCTTTTGGGAGTGAGACCTTATTTTACACTTGAAGTAAGTTGATCGGCCCCTCATGGAAAAAAATCCCCTCTGCTCCATGTCTTCTTTTATGTTTGTCTCATTGTGGTTCACTGTAGTCTCAACAGCTTTGTAATCACATTTCCACTATAGGAAATTCTCCAGGAACTTGAAAGGTGTGTTAAATGATGTAGATCTGTCTTGTGAGGTGGGCTGTACCAGCACTTCCTGCCACACAAAAGATTGTGGGAATACGTGTAGCTCCTGAGCAGCAGATGGGATTGTTTGGAGGTCCCTATGCTAAATGAACTATCATCCTGAAGCCTCCAGCCTCCTTTTCCTACCTCCCTTCTTAATACCAGCATTATTTGGAGAGCACTTAGCATGGTGAATGCAAACACATTTCACTTTGGCTTAAATACCCTAAACGATGTGCTCAACTCAAACTGAGCCTGTGTCTCAAAATATCTACAGCATTATGGCCAAAGGAGGAGCCACTTTAGAGGAATTAATGTAAAAAGTCAGATTTCAGACCTACTAAAACCAGAGAAGATTCTGGGAATTGATTTAGAAGTAACATTTTTTTAGTTAAAACACGCAAAAAAATCTGCTATATTTCTGTGTAACATATTATTTTATGTTTGTTTTGGAAGACACTTTTTATCAGTAGCGTGACAGTTTTTCCAAGGCTTGTCGATTCAACAAAGGATTCACTTATCACTTTTGGAGATTAGTTGTTTTAAACAAGTACGTACATCAAGGACTTCTCCAGTGGCATATGAAGAACAGTTTGTCTGAGAACCCAACTTTGTTTTATTTATGTTCTTTTTCTTCCTGACTCTCAAAAAGTGTCACGATAAGGGTCTGTCATTATTAAAAGACATACAAATGCAATGGTTTTTGAAAATGAGAACTAGTCTAATATGGCATATATCTTTTAGTAAGTGAAATATATTTTAAGGTTTGACCTCTAGTTGGTGATCATTATAAACTACAACTGGCAGTTTGTCCATGTCAACATTTATTATTTTAGAGGATTTTTTTGTGTGTGTTAATTGGCTTCTTATCAGAAAAAACTAGAGTGTGAGGAATCCATGAAAGATCTACAAAGAAGATCAATAGATTACAGAACATTGTATGTTCCAAACAGCTCTTTTACAGTCATCAGACCAAACTATTGTACTAAACACAAGCTTTGTAGACGTGTTACTACCTTGTCAAGGTATGGAAGCAGACCCAAACATGGAAGAAAACTGATCACCAGTACATTACCTACTTTTTTCACCTGTCATGTACTAGAAGCTGCTGAATCACCAGTATTATCGTCTGCAGATAAGTGAGTTTAATATAGTAAACTTATAGGGTGCCAACCAATAAGCTGCACCTGCTCAAAAACCTACACCTTCATTCTTAACGAGAACTCAAAGCTGCCCAAATTTGAAAAGGCAAATGCCCTTTGGAGAAAGCTTTATTGTCAAATAAAACGTGGATTGAGCTTTTTGGCCACAATGGAAAGAAGAATAGTGGATAAAGTCCAGATGAGTCGTGCTTTTAAACATTTTTGTGCTTATTTGATTCAGTCCACACACTGAGTCAGGGTACAATTCTTCAACTCTAATCAAAAGCTTGTCAGATAAAACACAGAGTTGTCAAATATCCAGCCTGAAGCTTGTTGATGGATAGATAAGCATGTGATTAAGGTGAGATATGCAAGAGGATATATAACCAAAGTGAACATGTGTATTCATTGTTATCAATATCATTATGATCATTACTTAAGACTGTTCTAAAAACACATTTATTGTCTGTGGCTTTTACTTTGAGCTTTTTGTGCTAATCGTCAGATGTATATAAATATATTTAGGGTATATTTGACAAAACTAAACAGACAAAAAGGCAATTCATAAAGAACCTTTATAATACTGGCTCTGCATGCTGTGGCATCGGCCACAAGATGGTGCAGCTGCTCTTTATAATAAAACAGACATTTCTAATACATTCTCAAGATTATACAGCAAAAAGGAGATATATTTGGAATAAAATAAAGTAATATTTTATCTTCATAACTGCATAAGGAAAAATAAATGCATTATGCTTTTGTTAAACTTTCTATAAAAACAAAAGAATAAAAAAATTCCAATGCTCTTGTATAAAAAAGAAAGGAAGTATTAAAAAAAAGTGCATTCATGGTTTTATTTCATTCATTTAGCTCTAAACTACAGCAAATGTAATAATTAATTACATAACAGGACAACTTAAATTGTAAATCCAAACAAAAAAATGTATGATAGAACAGATCAGCATACTCATCTCCCTTTAAATGTGTGATCATAATATATAGAAATAGAAAATAATTGATGCAGTCGAGGTATATTGTATGTGCAGTGAAGCCTTTATTTAGGCAAATTACACAGAACGTCAGAAACATAGGTACATTCAGGTTCTTCTGAAAAGATCTGTATAAAAACTGTTTTAATTTGTCATTCAGAATCTACTGAGCCCCTAAAGGGACGCTGAAGAGAAAAAAAGTTGAAAACTTTTGCGAGCACACCAGTTAGTTTCACGTGCACACCAGATACTTTTCGCATGATGGTATGAGTACTTCGGACAACCTTGTTCATTAAAATTGATGTACATGAACTTATAAGGCTATAAATTAATTGCATTCTGCGTATTTGTCCGAACGATAAGTTCTGATTTTGCTATAAAGTCCACTATATAGTCCCAGCTTGAGTTAATTGTTATGGTGAACACCAAAGTATTTATTCTCCTCCACCACCTCCCTTTCTACTATCATGACGTTAATAGGTTGCAGCTTGTTCCTTTTTAAATAAACCACCACCTTATTATTATTTTTTTTTTTACATTCAGGATTGGATGATTGACTTGACTCCTTGCCACAAAGTGGTTCATCAGCTCCCTGTGTTCAGTTTCTTGCCATCTCTGAGGCACCCAATAACTGCAGTCATTCAAGTGCTTCAGCAGATGAATGTCTTGTATTGGAAGTCAGAGGTGTACAGAGTAAAAAGTATTGGTGAGGGTACTGTCCCCTGTGGTACTCCAGTACTGCTGAAGGGAGAGTTGACCCTTCAGTCTGACAAACTGTGGTCTGTTTGTCAGCTAGCTAGTTTTCCTGCTTTCCTCCTTGTTTTCTTTTTGCTTGACCTTAAGTTGGTTCTGTATACTCCTCAATGATACGCTATCTCCCTTCCTGGGGCTATTTTTTGCAGTTCCTTCAGATAACTGGTGATCCAGGGTTTATTATTGAGAAACCATTCAGTGCTATAGTGTGGACAATGTTATATAAACACAGATGTTAGTTACTAGTGTTAGAAAAGTTACTTAAAAAAATTAACTAGTTATAATTACTAGTTACTTCACAAAATAAGTTAATCAGTACCTCAGTTACTTCTCAATCAAAGTAAATAGTTACTAGCCAAAGTAACAATGCAA